TGCGAATGTATAAAACATTAATGTATTGAAAGTTGCTCAATATTCTTTAAACCAACAGGTCTGAAATTGAACAAAAACAAAAACTGACTAATTAAAAGATTATTTTTTAACTTTCTCGTATAAGAAGTATAGAGGAAGTATTGTAAATCAAAAGACAGACTTACTCCTCCCTGAGTCGGAAAAATATAGTTTTGCAATTTAGTCCGTTTGTCTGTAAGTGTGTGTGTGTGTGTGTGTGTGTTTGTGCTTATGTGTATGTCTATGAACACGACAACTTGAGTAACGTTACACCTAGGTTGATGAAATTTCATAAATAAGTATTATAAAAAATGTGTAGTTTTATATAAACTTTTCAGCTATTTCCGGTAACCGGAAGTGCAACTTGTTCTACTTGGTTTTTCAAAAGCTTGTTATTTGAATTCTGTTTGAGATAAATAAACGAAATTTCACATACAGGTAAAATGATTAATTTTCTGTCTTCTTTCGAATTTTGAGTAATTTCCGTTTACCAGAAAAGTTACTTTACGCTATTTCCGATTTCTCAAAAAACAAAAAAACATATGAATTTATAAAGTACTAATATTCCGCACCATTATACACATATTGTTTGCCGTTCACTTGGTGCGCAATTGTTTTTTACTAGATTCTATTTTACACAATTTAAGTAGTTAACAATTGGTTAAAATCATATCTATATCCACAGTTGCCATTCCCCGTAGTCTTATGTAAGATTTTTCAAGATTAGGGGGGATCACTCCCGTTTTTTTCTGCTGGGCGAGTGTGATTTTTTTGTTACTCAAGTAAATCTTGCAGCTACATTTTTACCGATTCTAATTCAGCGATTTCATTCAAACTTCCCAGATACCTTCTTATTCGAGGACGATATATAAAAATATATTTTTCTAAAAAATCTAATTAGATTGACAATTGAATTTAAAAATAACTGTATTTAATATTAAAAGGGGAGATAACAGGATAAAATACTAGCTAGTGATTGTTTGATCAGCCAGCTGACGTGGGTTGGTTGATTTTATGCCGCTCGTTGGAACGATGTATCGGCCATGAACTATCTTTTAGAGATTACAAATTTTGAAAGCAAATATTTTATTCTTAGTTGTAGTGTCAATTTCACTTCAAACGAATTGACTAAAACATGGAAATTAAAATAAGTATAAAAACCTTTATAATAGCTAGCTTTTAATGCACTGAAAATTACAAAAAATGTCAATAATAAAAGCTCAGATCACTAAAATATATATATTTGTACAAGGGCGATCAACGATTTTATTTTTTTTTAAAGTTTGTTTTGTTTTCTTATTTTCAGTGCATTTAAAAGCTTGTTATTGTAAAGAAAATTATATTTATTTTTATTTTATATTATTTATTTATTTATTCATTTTGTGTGTGGAAAAGATCCAGGTACTTTTAATTCTTCTTTTCAAGATTACTGTGGGGGTTACTGTTGTGGTTACTGTGGCGGTTACTGTGGTGGTTACTGTGGCGGTTACTGTGGTGGTTACTGTGGCGGTTACTGTGGCGGTTACTGTGGTGAATACTGTGGTGGTTACTGTTGTGGTTACTGTGGCGGTTACTGTGGTGGTTACTGTGGTGGTTACTGTTGTGGTTACTGTGGCGGTTACTGTGGTGGTTACTGTGGCGGTTACTGTGGTGGTTACTGTGGCGGTTACTGTGGTGGTTACTGTGGTGGTTACTGTGGCGGTTACTGTGGTGGTTACTGTGGTGGTTATTGTGGTGGTTACTGTGGTGGTTATGTGGTGGTTACTGTGGTGGTTACTGTGGTAGTTACTGTGGTGGTTACTGTGGTGGTTACTGTGGTGGTTACTGTGGTGGTTACTGTGGTGGTTACTGTGGTGGTTACTAAGGCGGTTACTGTGGTGGTTACTGTGGTTGTTACTGTGGTGGTTACTGTGGTGGTTACTGTGGCGGTTACTGTGGTGGTTACTGTGGCGGTTACTGTGGTGGTTACTGTGGCGGTTACTGTGGTGGTTACTGTGGTGGTTACTGTGGCGGTTACTGTGGTGGTTACTGTGGCGGTTACTGTGGTGGTTACTGTGGTGGTTACTGTTGTGGTTACTGTGGCGGTTACTGTGGTGGTTACTGTGGCGGTTACTGTGGTGGTTACTGTGGTGGTTACTGTGGCGGTTACTGTGGCGGTTACTGTGGTGGTTACTGTGGCGGTTACTGTGGTGGTTACTGTGGCGGTTACTGTGGTGGTTACTGTGGTGGTTACTGTGGCGGTTACTGTGGTGGTTACTGTGGTGGTTATGTGGTGGTTACTGTGGTGGTTACTGTGGTAGTTACTGTGGTGGTTACTGTGGTGGTTACTGTGGCGGTTACTGTGGTGGTTACTGTGGTGGTTACTGTGGTGGTTACTGTGGCGGTTACTGTGGTGGTTACTGTGGCGGTTACTGTGGCGGTTACTGTGGTGGTTACTGTGGTGGTTACTGTGGCGGTTACTGTGGCGGTTACTGTGGTGGTTACTGTGGTGGTTACTGTGGCGGTTACTGTGGTGGTTACTGTGGCGGTTACTGTGGTGGTTACTGTGGCGGTTATTGTGGTGGTTACTGTGGTGGTTACTGTGGCGGTTACTGTGGTGGTTACTGTGGCGGTTACTGTGGCGGTTACTGTGGTGGTTACTGTGGTGGTTACTGTGGTGGTTACTGTGGTGGTTACTGTGGTGGTTACTGTGGTGGTTACTGTGGTGGTTACTGTGGTGGTTACTGTGGTGGTTACTGTGGTGGTTATGTGGTGGTTACTGTGGTGGTTACTGTGGTAGTTACTGTGGTGGTTACTGTGGTGGTTACTGTGGTGGTTACTGTGGTGGTTACTGTGGTGGTTACTGTGGTGGTTACTGTGGCGTTTACTAAGGCGGTTACTGACAACCCAACCATAGTCCATCCACCACCTCCACCCAAACACCAGTCCGTGTGCATCATGTCGAGTTAACACAGACTGTATTTTTCTAATCAGGCATCTGGAGTCAGTCCATCGGGACTACTCCTTATTCATCCAAGCACGATCCAAACATTGGCCCCTATACTATACACAACACTCAAAGAAAAACTATATGGGGCACCTGTAGATCTGGAAACCACAGTCCAGTTCATCCACGAAGTTGGACTTGTTGCTTAAATCCTCCAACATAAACTCAATTAAGAACGCAGAAGAAGAACAATAAAATTATTATTTATAACACTTTAATTAATTAACTGGATCCACTGGACTGTTGTGTTCAATTTAAAACAAATGCATTAAAATTAAATTGTATAACTATGTATTTTATGAGTAATTTGTGAACAACAACAAAAAAACGTAAGATAAAACCACCATCGCATGAATTTTGCAGTGAGCAGCATTCTTACATTACTGACCCGAATTACAAAGACAAATACAATCAGTTTCCCGTCTCGTTCTAGACACACTATAATATAACTCTTTCGCATCATTCTCATATCTCACTTACATGGCGTGACCGAGCGGTAGAGCGTTAGACTGCTATCACGGAAGACTCGAGTTCGGGCTCGTAACAATGGAAATTCCTGGGGCTAACTAGCTCAGATGGGTACCTAGATGCGGTTGGGCATAGTGCTGACCACAATATCCCTACATTTAACGAAGTCATGAAAACAGGTAAACTCTACGTCACTTGCCTCTGAACCGTCATGATCGAAAAGGAAAAGACTTTTAGCTTCTGCGTAATTATTATTAAATTTTTTAAACTTCCCGTGACAATTTATCACTTCCTATGTGTTTGTATGTTTTATTACTTTTTCTATATTGCCTTCTCTCTCTCTCTCTACTCTCTCTCGTTGCTCTCTTTCTATCTCTCTCTCTCTCTCATACTTAATCCCCCCCCCCTGTATCCAGTTTAAAGAAAACATGATAACTAAACCCATATTTTCTTAACACCGTGAGCAATGCACTTCATATCTACTAAACAAATAAAGGTCATTAAATTTGTATTGACGGCTTTTGAACGTTGTGAAAGAAACCTTGATATGAGAACAATTGTTCCTTTAGAAGCCTACTTTTTAGCCATCGCTATTAGTATAAAATTCTGAGTCAGCAGAATCTGCGCTTAATCCCATCTCTTCACTTTGTTCAAAGAAATTGATTTCTTTTTTGTAACTGTAACCAATAACAAACTCGGATTTTGTTATTTGCAAACAGTAGCTGAGATTTTTTCATTATGTGAACATCTGTTACTGGTTTAGCTGTTTATAAAACTGCTGTACCGACACAGCCTTAAAAAAACTAACGGTACAGCCCGTTATATAACAGAAGTAAAGGGATATTTATATACAGCAATTGTACCTGTTGGCTCTCTAAAAATTGTACTGAGATACCTCTTTATACAACAACTGTCGTGGCATCACTGTGGTAGTGTGAACAAAATAGCACATAACAACAAGATCCGAATAACGAAGTGCCAACGTCTTTTACATTTGATTAATCATGCTCAGGAAAACCAGGTCACGCGTAAATACGATTGGTAATGTTTATGTATATATATATATATATATATATATATATATATATATATATATATATATATATATATATATATATATATATATATATATATATATATGTGTGTGTGGGGGGGTGGGGGTTGGGGTCCAAAATGTTTGTTTTTTATATAGAACAACAGTTAACGTTCTGCAAAGAAAATAAGTCAATAATTTAGCAAGCTTAGACAATACTTTTATTGCTTTCGTATCTTCTTAATTGTCCCCTCCCTCATTGTTCTTTAATTCTTTAGAATAATTCCTTAAACGAAACTTCACGCTCTGTTTCAGAAATTTTCTTATGAAATCTTTTTTTAAATGTTGTCAAATAAAAAACCAATTGAAAAAAAAATATGAAATGTAAAAAAATGAAAATACGAAAACAAAAGGAGTGTTACGACTTTTGAATTTAAGAAAAGGTTATTTAGTAAGATTTCCAAGTTCAAAGATGACTGTCATCATAACCTGTATGTCAAATGTCTACACATCATGTTTGTGAAATGTCTACACATAAAAAAGTAGACGTAAAAACAGCGTGTAGAAAACAGCCACAGAAACGTCTTTATCTGTTAATTAAAAAGATTATCAAATATTAATGCTCTGCTCTGTTTGGTGTGTATGTCTCATTATACGTCAATTACATAACTATATATATATATATATATATATATATATATATATATATATATATATATATATATATATATATAATATATATATATATATATATATATATATATATATAATTTCTTTCACCTAACTATTAAAATTGACACTATGCGAAACAATCACTACTGTGTAAATAAAAGAAATATCGATACAAAAAGAAAAGTATATAAATCTTTAAAAATCCAAACAATGTAAATAAAAAAAAAAAACACAGGCTACCTGCCGGCGACCGGGCATATTTGTTCCAGAGAGAGGATCGTTTTCATTTCACTAAATTCGTAAAAATAAAAAGGCTGTAATGTGCATACCTTTTGTAGTAGTGATTAAAATAGTGCAGTAAATTTGTCGTGCATTGGATTTAGCATGCTAATAGCAAGTATACTTTCAGTAGGATTATCAAGTTTTTAAAGTATAATTGTTAGTAGAGATGAAAAGCCACATATATAAAAGGAAATTTATTAATCTAAAAGATAAATATGCGTTTCTTATAACGGGACATATTTGGCCTCTGACTTAGAAAATTTAGTAGGATTTGTTATTGTTTTAAACAGTAATTGTAAAAAAAATACAAATTTCAGAACATACAAGATTTTGAATTTAGTAACTCAGTTTTAAATAAATCAACTAACAATATAATGGTTACAGTCTAAAGTCTTATATTGTTAAAATTTTTAATTTAAAAATTATTAATTTAATAATTTTAAATAAATAATAAGTTTAATTAAAAAATTATTAAGAAACTGTCCTGTCCATTAGACTTATTAAGTATGGAAATATGTAAGCATCTAAAAAATTGATATCCTTACTCAAACAAGAAAATACTTCTCGCGTTAGTGAGGTCAGTGACCTGTTTGATGCCAGAATTTGATCCTTAAAAATGTAAATATAATGCATTACAAAAGATATTATTTACATATGGGATATATTGAGGCCTATATGTAGGTAATTATAAATAGGTATATATATATATATATATATATATATATATATATATATATATATATATATATATATATATCGATATATATATATGCGTATGCGTATGCGTTTGCGTTTGCGTTTGCGTTTGCGTATGCGTATGCGTATGTGTATGTGTATGTGTATGTGTATGTGTATGTGTATGTGTATGTGTATGTGTATGTGTATGTGTATGTGTATGTGTATGTGTATGTGTATGTGTATGTGTATGTGTATGTGTATGTGTATGTGTATGTGTATGTGTATGTGTATGTGTATGTGTATGTGTATGTGTATGTGTATGTGTATGTGTATGTGTATGTGTATGTGTATGTGTATGTGTATGTGTATGTGTATGTGTATGTGTATGTGTATGTGTATGTGTATGTGTATGTGTATGTGTATGTGTATGTGTATGTGTATGTGTATGTGTATGTGTATGTGTATGTGTATGTAAATGTGTATGTGTATGTGTATGTGTATGTGTATGTGTATGTGTATGTGTATGTGTATGAGTATGAGTATGAGTATATATGTAAATACATTACACACTAGGGCTGCTGGAATTACGAGGGCTGAAATAAAAAGAGCTGCCCAAAACCTAGTCTAGTGGAGAGTTGTGGATGCAACCGTATCCTCGCTTTGGGGCGGCAAAGGAAAAAGTTAAACTCCTTAGCGTATGTGTGCGTGCGTGTGTGTGTGCGTATGTGTGTAACGTATATATTTAGAGGATATTATTGTTTTGTGTAATTATATATTTCGCGTCATCTTGTCTCCTCAGAAATAAATTTCTCTTGCAAAACTTACCAAACGGGTACGGGGTACACAACACGAAGCCTTGGTTGTAAGAACCCAGCGGAGTACTGAAGGAGCTCACTAAAGCTACCGAGCAAGGGCCGCCGCCGATACCTGTGCTGAAGTACACGCAGTTGTTAAGTGCCAAGCAATAGTTGAAGCAATCCTTGAGGAAACAAAATAAATTATAGCTTGAGATATATATATATATATATATATATATATATATATATATATATATATATATATATATATATTAATATATGGTATATATGGGTATTTCGAACCGGCGAGCAATTTGTTCCACCCTCATTGAGCTTAAGATGACGGCTAGAAAATGGCAGTAACACTTTGATATAGGTACAGATGATAAAATCTATGTGCTGACCGAAACCTAGTAGATCTAGAATCTATCGTAAAGTTAAGCGGTAAGTCAGTTTTTGTGTTTTTTGCACTGTTCGATATCTTTCTAACTGTGCAATACTGTAGAGTACTAAATTAATTTCTTTCTTTTTTCTGCGCCCAAATAATTTGATTATCGACCCTTAATGTCAACTATTTGATTTGAAAGTATTACTTTTGTAAGTGTATAGCAAAGACTAATTTAACATTTTACCAATCAATTTAAAAAAAAAATAGATTTCTGTTATATTCATAGAAATCGAAATCAACTTAAGCAATCTAAATAAATAAACTTGATTTTGTAACATTAATTACGCAATATGGAAACTATAATAACGTACAACCTCGTAAAATGAAAACCATATAGATTTATTTTGTACAGCCATTTCGGAACACTTTTTTTTTATTTTCCCGATCGTTAGCTTAACAATATAAAATTAAATAATTTTTCATTGATTTATTAAAGACTATAAACAATCTTTGGGGCTATACCGGCGATGTTGTATTATACTTTTATATATTTTGATATGGAATGTGGTTAATAAGTAAATAATAAAACTATAATAAAATTTCCTATTTTCCATATTGCATCGTACTAGATTTAATTTTGAGCGTAAAAACTGCAAACATGAGTCCACAATATTCGACGTTTTGAAAGTTTTAGCCCACGGAAGGGCTCGTGGTGTTAGGGTAGGGGATATGAGTGAGGGGTGGTGTGTGTTTGGTTGGGGTTGGGTGTGGTTGTTAAGGGGTCGTCCATTATTGATGTCAGACTCATAGGTGGAGGGGGGTTTTTGTGACGGTGTGTGATGGGGGAGGGGGGTTCAGATGGTTCACTGTTTCTTCCAGACTTTTTTCTCCGGGGGGGGGGGGCACTTGAAATCTTCGGGGGGCGGTAAACTTTCTTCGGGGGGGCGGACACTGTTAAAAGTATATATTTTCTATATAAATTATATAAATTTCATTTCATTCGAAAAGATGCCTGGAAGAAACTCTGGCTATGTTAGAAAACGAATTTTAGCCGTTATTTCACGTTTAAAAATTAGTTTTCATAAATTGTAATAGGAATTTATTAAAATACTCTATACAAGATTTTGGAAAAATAGCTTATTATAAGAACAATTCAACTGCAACCTTTAGGGGGTGGGGTTGTAGGCTTAGGTGTGGCGTAATTTTATGGGGGGGGGGGGCGCTGGCTTTTGTGACGATGTGTTACGGAGGGGAGGGAGAGGTAAAAAATCTCCCAAAAAAAGCGTGACGTCATTTATGGATGACCCCCTTAAGCATAATATAATAAACGAGCCGACCCGCGGCGTATGATACGCCGCTATTTAGTTGTTTTATTAATTTCTACTTTTCAGTAATTCATAATTTGTGAATTCGACAGTACCAATGCTGCCACTGAAAATATTTGCTTTAAAACACTAAACCCCCCCCCTTTCCCCTAACCCCGACCCTACACCCCCCCCCCCCCCCCACCTGAAAGCAGCCTCCTCTTAGTTACCTCCTGTAAGTTTAAAATCGTTTCAAACTAAATTATCTGCCCCTAATAGCCGTCACTAAACCCGGCTCTACGATTTGTAAACATTTAATTTAGCGTGACCACAACTCACCAGACCATGTGGGGGTGGGGTGGGGGTGGTAGTGATAGTGATAGAGAGAAAGAGAGGGGACTGTAAGGAGGCGCTTGCAGCTTGTTGTCTAACGTCTCCCAGAAGAGAATTATATATATAGATTGGAAATTACTTTCAATGCATGATTCTTTGTTTGTTTTTCTATAAATTAATATTACTCCAACATTCTATTATTCTAAATTGCACTGAAATTGTAACTAGAATTATAGTTGAGGAAATACTGTTACGTCTCTTCCATGTAATGTCCCCTGATTGTGTGTGTGTTGTGTGCTTGAACGACGGTTACCCCCTTTTTGTGTGCAGTTGTATCCCTTGGTTGAGTGTGGTTACATTGAGCAAGAGGTGCTCACGTGAGGGGTGTTAGTTGACGGGTGACAGAGCGTGTGCTAGTGTGTGTAGCAGTAGTTTGCAGTGTGGCTGTGGATGTGGTGTTAAGTATCGTGTATCGTTATTTGTGTTGTAGACATTTTTATTATTTATCCTTTTATTATTGTATTGTTCTTGTATGTATATATATATATATATATATATATATATATATATATATTATATATATAATTTCTTAGTATTATTTAGTGTTATCTAGTCTGCTGTAAACGTTGTATTGTGTGTTATATACCGCTAGACGAAGAACTCAATAGATACCGTACATGACTATATAAAGCAAGTAAGGTGTGTAAAGCAAGGGAGGTAAGAAAGTATAATATGGGAAGGTGGACATTGTGAGTGGTTTGCGTGAGATAGTGCAGTCGACAGATCTTTTTTAAACAAGGGACTTGGTTATTTTTATCTATTAAATTGAAACACAATGAATAAAAGATTAGAGATTAATAATTTTTACAATAACATTGGGTGTTAATCATTAAGAAATGTTAATCATTTAGTGTGGAGGTTAAATGTTGAAAATATAATTAAAATGTAATATTTTATATTTGGCACCCGGCCTAACCTGAATATAAAATCGTCAATATATTTTACGCAGAAGCTATGAATGTGTTACATTACAGTAGAGTACGTAAGTTGACGTAAGCTTAAATAACAAACGAATGATGGTGCTGATCCCTACCTGGGGAGAAGTAATTGATGCTGGTGCCGCTGTAAATGAAAAAGGGGCAAATACGCCACACTGGGCTGTGAATAGAATATTTGACGTATGGTTAAATGTCAGAATGAGAAGCACCTCAGCGTGTGTAGTGTTGTGACATTGAAGGACGATGTCACAATAATAAAATAAAGAGGGTGTTAGGTATCTAACAGTAGAACTTGCTAATGTCTACGCTAACCCTATAACTAAAAGTACTCTTTCAAAAAGTGGAGGTCCATGGGGCAGGTGAAATAGAGCTCACCTGTTCCAGAGACTTCAGCAAATGAAGGGATATTTTTATCATCGCTGTGTCCACCCACCTTTTTTTCCAAAACTGAGCTAAGCTATCATCATTTAAACAGGCCTTCACTTAAAGCTTACCTTAACCCTAACCCAAAGTTTGAAATAAAACTAATAAAAGCACTTACCTGTAGCTAAACCAATCATACGAGCAAGCAAAACTGCCACCAACAGCATCTTAAAAGCCATTTCTGTAAAACTCAGGTTTTTTTTTTTACAGCTGCTACAAAATTTCGATGATATAATCAGCACAATCTCTTGCGTAAAATTATTATATTTAATTAAATAAAATACAGAAATTGATGTTGAAATCATAGTCTAAAATAATATATTGTTTTGAACTATTTATGTCTACGTGTTTTAAAATTAAGTGCTTGATTTGGCAGCAGATAATCTGAAATAAATTGACGAGTTTGGGCCTTAATAAAACTTTGTTCTTAGGGAGAAAAGAATATTTGTTTTTAAAAATGAATTAACTACAATTAAAAACACTAAACATTTCTTATTAATTAGCCACTTTTCAAATCATTTAAACCTAAATGGGGCCAGCAATTTTTTTCAGATGACAAAAAAAGTTTATCCGTGTAAAAAGTTAAACTTACCAAGACTTTATCTTTTTAATGTATGTTGGTGCTTGCACTAATCGAAGCTTCTCAAACTGTGCGTTATACCGAACCTTGAATGCTTATAAACATGTT